TATTATTTTAATGATAATATAAGGTCCTGTATAATTAAATGATAAGCAATTATTCATCGATAAAAATAATTTATTGGATCAAAAAGTCAAAATGAACATTATATCTCCTTAGTGAGCATGCGATCGTCACGCCAGCCGCATGCGTTAAGCGGTCAAGCCTACTGTTACTGTTAAAAAGTGTTACTTGTAAATTGCATTAACTCAGCTTCCGAGTGGTTAATCTAATGTTGCATACGATGAATAAGTAGAGGAAACATTAAAGAACAAATTGATTTTTTAATTTTTGAAAAATATTCGATAGATCCAAACTTATTGGCACTCAAAGTTTAAGAAAAAACGTGAAATTTCGAACTTTAAAAATTCATAACTTTGTAAATATGCATTCTACAAAAAAACTACTAAGGATCTGTTCCTCTTAACATGCGCTATATTTTCTAAAAATAAATTGTCCCATTGAAAAAACCGATTTTTTTTTATTTGTTTAAACAATTGTGTTTTAAACAAAACGCATCCACTTCTCGTAAAATTAACCGGTACCATTGGATTCAGCGGATGAAAATAGATAAGATTGCATGGTTTTTATCTTTTGCTCTTTTAATTCATACAGGACCATACACAGCTCCTCGACTATAGCCCAACCGAAAAAGAGTGAGAAAGAAAACGAAAGAGAAAGATCTAAATAGGCGCGAGTTGCGCAGTAGCATAAAGGCTGGCTGCTTCCCGAAGGGAATCACATAGTCTAGAAACGCGTAATTGTGGAAATTCGTTTTAACTTACATTCTACTTGATAAAATTCTTTGTACGATAGATGTTTTCGAAGGAGAATTTCTATAGCTTTAACTTTTATTTGAAACTCGTTTTTGAAATTCAAAAATGCGAAAAACTGAAAATTTGATCGTCGTTCGCAGTTTTCACCAATCGACAAATCGTATTCCTGGCCCAAAAATATATTTAAAAGTGTTATTGGCAGGCGTGTACTCAATTTTTCGATTTAAGAGCTACGTTGACTGGACTATTGTAACTTTATTATTGTAATTTTACTAATTATCTCAAAACTGCATCACTCGAGCGGCAGAAAATGTTGTCGCAGGTAATGGATGGTAACATAAACTTTGCATTCTGCTAATGAGAACATGACGAGTAATACATGGAAGCGAGAGAAAAAATGGGTGACTTTCGGAATCGGTGCCTTGCCGTAGAAATGGCTCACGCCACCGCCGCTTGTGGTGGCTACTTCTTGCCTAGACTCGTGATTCGCTACCGAGTCTTATTAAAACGATAAAACCTCTCTCCTTGCCAGCGATTCGCAGTCGCATTTAGTATTTGTACGGACTGCACGAGCGTTTATTCTTCGGTAACCGCGGGAATACGATCAGCAGCGACTGCCTTTGCTCGATACAAGATCTGCGAGCTCACGTATGCAAGTACACAAGTTGTACTGAGTTGCGTTTCACGGTCGCAGCAGGCTAACTTTCGCAAACTGAGCTCGATACTTCGTCAAGGAAATCGTTGTCCAATTAGTGCTTGTAAGCGCGCGATCGTGTTTCAGCTGATGAGCGTTTCAGATAGCCAGGCGGAATGTACCAATAACCAATCGCGCGGATGATTTGTCGACGCTTCGTAAATGTCGCGATGAAAGTAAATATTGACTATGAAATAGCACCACGAGTTGATAGCCCGGAGGATATCTACGTAGGCGAGCGAATTCGAGTTTGCAAGCGCTTGAGAAAGCGCAATTACGAGAGGCTATCACTTGCGTATACAGCAGCCCGAGCTTATCTGTCACGTTCATTCTTGCTCCGAGTGCAGTCGAGATTACAGATGCGACAAACGGCGCGCTGCATGTCTCAAAAGCGCAGACTGCAGCAGACGAGGCGCTCGGCCAATGAACTCAGCCTCCGTTTCATGATATCTTCCGCCAGAAGATCGAGCTGATTTCTAGCGCGTGGCGGAGAGGCTGGCGCAGCACTCAGATCGATCGCAAGCGACGACAGCGGTCCGACGAGTCAAAAGCCAATGCAGGCAAACGTGCCGACTTGTGGCTCTCGCCCCCGCGACCCCCGCGACGCGATCGCACACGAGCGTCCGCTGGCCAATCCGCGACTGGACTAGGCTACAAAACAGCAGCAGATTTAGAAGCACCAAGTTGCATTTTGCGCGCGTGACGACATCTACGTATACGCGCAAAGGGCGTTGTCGCACTCGGAGTGGCTGCAGCGAAATCGAGAGCTCAGCCACTCCGCCTGTCTCTAGCTTGGCGCCGGTTCACGCGCCGCGTCGTCGTGCGGCGTGCGGCGCGAGAGCAGCGCGCGTGCCGCCGCCGCTAGCCGGCTGACCCGGGCGTGCTCAGTGCTGCCGCCGAGTCGAGGCACGACGAGCGGCGCGAGCACTGCTCGCGTCAATGGCCGCGCATGCGCCCGCTCGGCGGCCGAGTTGCGTACTACCGGCTACGTATAGTGCCGGATAGTGCAGCCAGAGCCAGTAGCCAGTCTACACTCCGCTCGAGTCTAAAGGGAAGCTCGAGAGTGAGCGAGCGAGCGGCGACGGCGGCAGCCTGCACTGCGAGGAGGGAGGACCGCCGCGCGCCGATGCCCTCGCGAGGGAAGCAGCCAGGCAGCCAGTGCTCGCTCGGCTGGCCATCTCCCTGCATGCGCGCGCTTCCTCCGCTGAGCGTCGTATTGCGAGCGCCTCGCGCACACACGTCGGCCGGACGAGCATGCCCACTCGATCTCTGGGCACTTCGAGGGAGCAGTTGCTCGCGGTGCGCTCTCCGTCGAGTTGCAATCGGACTTCCGCGCAGTGTGCCGTGTGCCGTGTGCCGTGGTGATGCGAGCGAAAGGCCCCACAAGAGAGCGCGTGCAGATGAGCACTGAGACTGCTAGGTGAACGCGCGAGCGTCGGAGACGTACGACGGCCAGCGACTGCTGTGGCGAGAGCGCAGCGCACATCTGCCGCGTGAGTCAGCAGGGTATCCGCTGAGAGGAGCTGCAGAGGCGCGCGCAGCCGATGGGGAGCTGCGAGCGTTGCCGCGGCTCGCGATGCGTCTGCGTCGGGTCCGAGTTGAGCGGACGCCGACAGCAGCTGCCTTCGGATAAGTGATCGAGCAGCTCGTTCGCGATCGGAGCACATCTCGGAGGACGACTGCGACGATGGAGCGGCTTTTCCGCTGGAAGAGCCACAAAGCCGTCATGGACGATGTGAGTAGCTGGCAATGGGCATTTTATCCAAGCGTAGCAGCCGGCGGGGGGCCAGTCTGCCACGTGCCTCTTGCTTCCCTCTGCGATTCTATGCGATTCAACGATTCAAAGAGGCGGACGCGTATGTGACGGAGCACAGAGAGCGAGTCCCACCTACGAGCGGGATTCAGACCCTTTTTCTTTTTGCCTGCTCTCCCACTAGCCCAAGCATCGAATCCTTTCGAGGCTCTCGTTGGTCGCTCAGCACTGGCATATAGTCGCGTCGGCTGAAGAGATGGTTAGAACAGTTTCATTACGCGTATCAAATGACCTGCTGACTACGAGAACGACGCCTTTTACCATTGCTTAAACCTGCCGAGATAGGTAAATGTAAGCACGGCTTTGCCAACCGCGAGTCAAGCGAATAAGGAAGAGTAAATGACGCTTCCAGCTAACTCAAAAATCTTTCTGGCTCGTCTGCGCGCGATTTTATATACGAAATTCGTATCTATGGGGAAAAGCTCAAACAGTCAAGTGTATGGCAAGTGGCGTCAATGCAAAGCCTGCCGGCTACGCATTGTTCACGAGTCGTCGACAGATCCAACTGCTTTCGCGCACACATGCCGCGCTCTTTGTATCCTTTGTTTTCTCTGTCTCCTCCGCGTGCATTCTCTCGCGCTTCGCTGCGTCTCCGAGTACCTTCGCGTTCGTTCTGCGTTCGATCGCTGCTGAGCTGTCAAGGCGTTGCTGCGCCGAGTGATTCGAACAACGACGTGATCACTATCCACAGCCAACAAACAGAAGGCTCGAAGCGACTGCTAACCCAGACAAGTCTTTTTCCCCGATAGTTCGCTCGCTTCGCCCTTGTTTAGTTCTCGTCCAAGCTCGACTGGCCGCACCCGACTTTCTGGTCTAATTATAGAAGCGCGCGCGGGCAGAAGGAGGGCAAGTTGAGCGAGGCGTTGTTGCCCAGCGCGACTGAAAGCAGTAGCGCCAGAGCAGAGCTGCAACTTCATTAGAAGGCAAGTAGTGGAGCGGCTGGCGACGCGGCCAGTTGCTCCATCAAAAATGTGCAGGCCACGACTCGAGCGAGGACATGACTTCGAGTTTAGAGCGCGACTGAGAAACTGCCAGTATCCGCCCCGTCGCGTGCCGCTCCAATCCGATTGTTGTGCCTCTCTCGCGTCTGTAGCCGGCGCGGTGCCGCGTGCGTCGTTGCACTCGCACGTGCCGTGCGCACTTGCTCGAGCTGTCGCTTACCGGCCTCGGCAGCTGCTGCTGCTGCTGGGGTCAACGCGTAACGACTCGGACGAGCGTCGTGCACCTTGGAAATTACATCCGCGTGCGCTTCGCTGCGGTGCGAGAGCAGCGCGCGATCAACTTGTAGCCGGCGCTCGCCATTGTGCCTTGCATCACGCTCTGAAGACGGTGAGGCTTGCATTGCTGAGGCGTTAGGCGCTATCATCGCAACCGAGCACCGCGCTGCTGTCCTACTTGTCTTTTTACTTTGGCCTTATGTCAATCTTATGAGGTTTTATTGATAAGCTAGTAAATTAATACGACACAAGTTATTGTGTGTCCTCTTTTTTGAAGACAAAGTTACAAGGAGGTACGCCGAAAGAACTTGCGTCTTGACTCGCCCACTAGTGACTGACATATATTAGTTCACGCACGCAAGATTGTGCTGTAATCGTGATATCCGAAGGCGCATCTTTATTATTAAAAATCATTGTCTGTAGCATTTTCTAACTGCGTTTCAATACAATCCCTTCCGAATTATCATATTTCGTACTCATAGATGAACGTTGTGCTATTCGTTTGCAGAGCCTGAACAATGTGAACTCGGCGACGCTGAGGCCATACAACCCGGACTCCACGCCGAGGATCGATAGCTATAGAATCTCTATGGCTAATCTCGAGGGTAAGTGTAGACATTCACTTTAGAAACTACGTGTCGGAGCCGTATAACGGATCTGCAGCATAATGACCTTGCCTTTTCTTAGCCGTCAATTTTCTGAGTCTCGGAGCGCACCACTGCGCGTATGCACATTCGTATTCGCATACGCATTTGCAGCGACAAATGGGAAACGTTCTGCAAGCCAAGAAAGCCTCGATATATCTTGCTGCGTGCGTGTCTCCGTTTGTCGCTGCATGCTGGCCGACTTTCCGCGCGACGTGTCTATCGTATACTCCCGTTAACGACGCTTCTATCTCCCTTTCGGTTTCGTTACTTTCCTTTTTTCGTCTTGTGCATTGTTCGTGCACGGCTACGTCGTTACATATGGCGAAGCGCGATTGAATAATGTACGACACGCGGACGCAGTGATTTTTCGACCGAGAGCATGCATGTAGAGCGACAACAATGGACCGTTCGAAAAGTCCAAGCTCGGGCTGTCATCGAATCGAAGCAGGCAGGCTGCAAAAAGCGCGAGAGAGAGAGAGAGAGAGAGACAGAGACAGAGAAATGGCCTCGGCTCTCGCTCTGCTCGGCAAAACGCGCTCCGTGCTTATGGTGTACTCGATCTGTGCGTGCTGGCACATCCGACGCCACAATACATCTATGCTGACGAGCACACAACGCATCGTAATATTAACTGCAACTAGCTTAACTAGCTGCACAATTATTGCAACAGACATTGTCACTACGGGAGAACTGTAAGTTTCGACTCCAACGTACATGCCCGTGGACGGATCGCACGGCTGTACGAGCTCGAGAGCAACGACTTGCGATGCCAAATGCGCCAGCGACGCTCTGGGGCGCACTTGGCGGTCATCGCGAGGCAGCTTCTTGTAGTTGCTCCGCGCGCGACGTCGTGACGCCTGTGCACAGTCGATTGGTAGCACTTAGCGTGGCAGCGTGGCGACAATCTTGGGCTGCCAGCGCGTCTGGTACGCCAACAGTTCGTGCGCACTTGGGGCTTTCAATTTGCGCATCGTCAAGCAGCCCGTCGAAGCTACGAGGTTGTTGCGTAATATAAGACCTAATGCCTAAGCCATCGAGTAAAACATAGTCTTGCGTGAGGCTCGAACGCCTCGGTAGCCGCAGACCTGCTGACAACGAAGTAGTCTGCGATCGGAGGCTCGACGTGACAGCAAACTGCTGCGGATGCAAGCACGTGTCATGCTTTGCAATTGCGTTCATCGTTGTCCGTTTGAGGGAGAAGCTAACGATGTTGAAGCGCTAATTGAAAGCGCCATAAGCGCCATGCAAAGTACGCCAAGTCCCGGCTAACAAGGAAACCCCCCACCCCAATCTTACCTCACCGATTTCAATAATCTTTCAATATGTTATAGTTCATGAAGAAATAAGTCATGCGTGTTTTTTTATCGGCGAAAAAATACCTATGTCTTATTTTTTCATGAATTATAACATATTGAAAGATTATTGAAATCGGCAAGGTCGGGTTGGGGTTTCCTTGTAAGTTTCCCATTTCGGTTAACCTATCGGCCTTCAGAATGCTCGTGAGATTAGTCTGGACGATTTTTATGAAATTCATTTTTTATAAGAGCTGCGCCTGTAACACAACGGCCTAACCTCGGCGAATTGTGCTTGGATGCAATGAGTGCGCGTCGTGTCGACACCCACTATGATCGCGAGCAAAGAAAGGCAGAACGATAAGAAAACAAAGATCTGTAAAAAAACTGCGCGGTGAAAAAAGTTCTCTGTTAGTGTGGGCGAGTGTGTCACTACGAGAGATGACGCTGCTCCGTTGAAAAGAGAAGCTTGCTCTTGCCCGAGCCACAGCTCACGGGCCTGGATTCTTCGCTTGTCATAAAAAAAAGCGTATCGCGCTCGTTATACGAGCACGGGAAAGTTATAGTTAGACGGATTTCAAGCGGCGCAGTCCCGAAGCTCGCGATCGGCATTCGACCCAACTATCGCGAGAACAATTATGCCATAGAAGAGTGCGGTCTTTGATTGACAACTTGCTCGGGCAATGTTAGTCGAGAAGCGAGGCTGCGTCGGAGAGTTGGTCACGCGGCGGGGCGCTCCCGAGGCAAGAAGGGGCTGCCCGCGCTGTCAGCCCCTCATCGGCCAGCAAACTCAGCGTAGAGTCTAGAATGCGCGGATGATCGAACGAAGTAGTTAGACCGCGATTGACATTGCTATCGATTCGGATATTTGCCGATTCGGAGCTATCTTGGTTGCCGAATCCGATCCGGACGATCATGCCAGTCGGACCCGTTACGCAGACCAACTCGAGCTGCACTTGCACGCCTGCGAACGGCTTGCTCGCGCTTATCGACGGGACTCATCGACCGGTGTTTTCATCTCAATGGCATTAGGCAGCAATTCATAATTCTAGAAACATTCCGCGCTCGTGCGATCAGTGCAACCGTAGAATACTGTATTTATCCCGAGAAAAGAGCTATTGCGCGGCTCACTGCTGCTGAAGTCTGACTTGCAACAGCGATCCGTTGACATTCGCGATTGAGCTAACGAGCCGGCGCGGCGGGTACAACGTCCATTCCGACGTCGAGTTATCTCGCATTCCACCATTATACTACAGCCTCGTTGCCGCTCTCGTCTGGCTGCTGTCTGCCGCGGCAAAGAAAATTTTATTTCAATTGCACTGCACTCGGTAAGCGCTACGCCAAGCGACTTGTCCTCTTGGTACATTAATAAATTATTATCAATGTTCCGAATTGCTCAGGCTTTTTACCTTGCTCCAACTAGCGCCCGCCTTTTATGCCGTTCCTTTTTCTCGAAAAACAAAGCCCGTTAACAAAGACAAACGTGTACCAATGCTTTTTACAATAGTTTCGCTTTTCTCCTTTAAAGACCGATGTAGGATGCCCTGGCCGGCGTCTGTCGAACCACGCCGGCCAGCCAATCCAACTCTCTATCCACGTGTCGTAATATACATTAGTATATTACGACATTTGTCATTTGATCGTTAAAGAATATTGTATTCTACGTATTTGTTAGTCCTCTTGAATCTCATTGTGTGTCTCAAATGACGCCATCAATGATATGTACTAAATGATCCGTGAAATATGTGTACGAACAGTAAAAACAAATGTGCTTTTAACGAATAAATAACGTCTGACTATTTGATTTTCTGAAAATTGGGCTGTTGACATTTAATGCATTACACTTATATTATTTGTATAAAGAATCTTGAATGAAATAACAGCTGTGCCATTTCAAGATAGATCGTGTAATGAGTGAATCGAATATTTTGTCCACTGCGCACAAGTGCACGTTTACGTAAGTGGATTGTATTTTCATTGTTAGTCGCAACAGGCTCGCATTTTGCTACACCTTGCTCAGTCTAGAAATCAACCGCTCTACATTTGCGTCGTTGTGCACGCGGTGCGAAACACTTTCTGACCTACTAGTCCAATCTACAGACGTAAAAATTGAGCATATAAAGGAAAAATAAAAGAGAAAAAAAATTTTTAACGAATTTCAATGGCAGAGTCGTCACTGATTACAATTCCGATGTTGCACTTGCTACCATGCTTTAGCTAAATTGTTGACGTCTTGAAAGATTATTTTTCCGGTTTTTTGCTCGTGTCTTTTTTCTTTAATTTTTCGAAAAACTTGCACTTTTTCGTAGCTTGATAGAAAATCCATACAACATATTGTTATGGGTCGAATAATATTGATTTCATATCGGAGATATATACAAATTTCATTTTCGTCGTTCAAATGCATGTAAATTGTAGTAAATATGGACCGATCTTACCTCAAATTTAGTAGAATAATCTTCAATTTATGCGAATCATTCATGCTCCATCTTGAATCTATAATTCAAATAGTTTATGAGTTATAGTAATATTAATTATATCCCTGAATATCTAAATTAATTAATTTTTAGATGACAAATATGAAAAAAAAAATTTGCTGATTTTTTATGACACATAATGTCCATAATTAACAATATTGAGACTGACATTACATAAATAAACAATTTTATTGCTCAGGCTCAATTTACAAGTTATGTGATCAAGTTCAGTCACCTTATGAGTAGATGGCGTTGCGTTGCGTTTTAACTCATGAGTAATAAAAATAACACAAGTCGACACTTCTCAGACCTAGAGACCCGACCAGGTATTTCTGAAGGGATTTGGTATGCTGAATCCAAATCCGAACTTAGAATTGTTCCATTACACTCATTTTTCGAGATATCTTAACGTAAAAGCGTCTAAAGCACGATTTTTTGCTGTTTTCTAACCCCTGTAACTTCATGAAAAAACTATTTTTGCAAATTTGATGACGACATCTTAAAAAGCAAATTCTTGCCCTTCAAAACGCAATCGTAATTTTTTTCAATTTCATTTTTTCCGACAGAGTTATAACACATTAAAGTATGATCAATGGGCATTTTCGTAAATGTCGATTAAGCAGAGAAAAGTTTCGCTGAAAAATAATTTTCGTTGAAAAATAAAATAATATCCCAAATATCTCAATCAAAGAACTTTGTACCCTGCTAGGCAATAACCTCGGCTTGCAATATTAGGCCAATCAATAATGCGAAAAAGAGGCTATTTTTGACAAAAAATCCAGAATGGATGGGGCTGCTTTTTTTTTTTTTTGAGTACGACATTACAAGTTATAATATATAATTTGAAAGTAAAAAAAATGGGTGCTCAATGGAACCAGGAAGATGTAAAGTTGATGAAATGATGTATTTTTTCGTTCTGTAAGCGTAGGAATGCATTTTAGAGAAAAAAGTTCAACATGAAAGTTGTCGATAACGAAAAAACCTATAGTTTGAACTATCACACAATTAATTTCGTTCATTGGTCTTTGCATAAAGAGCGAAAAAGCAACAAAAATGGATGAGCTTGAAGTTTCGAACGTTCGAGTTGAACGAAAATATCAAAAATAAAAATATAAATATATAATATAAATTATCGCTTCTAGAGAACGCTATACTTGTGTAGATGATGCAAATAATTTGATATATCGAT